TCAGCTGCCATGGCCACACCCCCGGCTGGGGGCTCAGCACAGACATTCATTTCTCTCTGTCCCGGAAGCTGACAAGTTCGAGGCGAAGGTGCTGGCAGATGCAGTTCCTGGTGGAACCTCTTCCTGGCTTACAAATGGCCACCTTCTCACTATGTCCTCACATGGAGGAGAGAGGGCTCTGGTCTGTCTTGTAAGGGCACCAATCCCATCATGCCCTCCCGCACCGTCGCCACCACCTCATGACCTCCTCTGAGCCTCATGACCTCCCAGAGGCCCAGCTCCAAACAACATCACATTGGGGGTTGGGGCTTCAATGTGAATGGGGCGGGGGTTGAGGGGCAGACATGCATTCAGTCCATGACAGAGCACAACTGTGTCTTTAATAGCATTCACACCAGGCCGTATATCCCAATGAAATCTTTCTGTGCTTTTATAGCTCCATGAAAAGCAGCCTAAATGGCCTGGTTGGGTGGCTCAGTGGTTGATTGTTGATCCACGAACCAAGGGGTCCCTGGTTCAATTCCCGGAGGCTGGATCCTCAGTAGGAAACGTGTAGGAGGCACCCACTGATGTCTTTGTATATTTCCTGCCCCTATTTCTCTTTCTAAAAAAAAAAAAATCAATGAAAACATATTTTTTAAAAATTTAGCCTAGGGGAAGAAAATGGTGGAGGTATAGACAGATGTGTCCTGTGCCTTGTCCCGGAGCAGATAAGGGTGAGCAGCTGAAATGGGTAAAATACAGACTGAATAAGCAGAAGATATTCAGCTGGGAGACAGTTTGCAGCCAGGAAAGACAGAGGACTCCCAGAGAAAGAGGACAGTTGGAGACTGTGGCTGAAATCTCTCCTGGAGCACCGGCTCAGCTGCGGAGAATGTGCCATTGTGAGTGGCTGTTATTGGAAGTGTATACATCCAAAGACCTGGCATCCAGAGATCGGCTACTAACCCAGAAACAACGGATCTCAAGAAGCGAGACTATGTGAATTCAGACGAGCCCTGCTCTCCTCACGGAAAGGTCAGATTTTGCCTAACGGTGCGGTTTGCAATTCAGGTTGGAGAGAGGAACGTGCACGGGTGAAATCTGCGCCCCACAAAGTCCGCAGCCCTTGGGGCCAGCATGATCCACGAGTGTGGAAGGGCTCCGGCAGGGCTGCTGGTGGAGGGGAATGCTAAAAATAAGCCCATAGCTGGACTGGATGCAAAAAAGCAGCCTCGGATTTTGCCAGTGTGCCGGCTGCTTGGTGCCAGGGGAGAGAGGACGCAAAGAAGAGACTGAGCACAGAGCTGGAAGGTGGAGGGTTGCGAATTCACGCAACTTCTCAGGCTCTTGTTTTCTTTCTTCCCCTTAAATCTTTACATTTGATTATTAAATCCAGTGCATGGGATTGCCCAGTTGGGGTCACTTGCAGAGACCGCAGGGGAAAGTTGTTTTTGTGGAACCTGGGAAACAGAGCGGGAGTAACGATTAAAGAACAGGCTCTAGGGCAGTCGACTCTCCCAAACCAGTTTTAAGTGCAATAGAGAAAATAAATTCTAACTGCTGGATAGAGAGGACTTATAGCCTCGGAGGTCAATCCAGAAACACTGCCACCCAGGAGCTGATCCACGAACTGACTCTTCTGTAAACTCAAATAAAGGCAGTCTGGGAAACAAATACGGCCTGCCTTAAAATCAGGACTGTGGTTTACAACACGGAGGAACAGTGTATCGCAGGGAAATTCAACACTCTCCTGAATACCTGGCAGGACTAAGGCAGGGGTCCTCAAACTACGGCCCCCAGGCCACATGTGGCTCGCTGAAAACATTTATCTGGCCCGCCGGGTGTAGGGACAATGAAGCTCCGCTGAAGCTCCGCTGAAGCACAAACTTCATTACTTCACTTTTTTTTTATCTTTTACATAAGAAACTAAAAATTTTTTCACTTTATTTTATTTTTATATTATTTATTATTATTATTTACCTTTTAATTTTGGGGGATTAGTGTTCTACATTCTATTTTTATCATTCATTTAACATCATTTTTCTCTACCTCAACTTTACCTTTATGCCAAAACTCTCTTCCTCACTTTTCCCCTTTTGTTGTCCTGTTTCTCTTACCCTATTCCTGCTTTAGATTTTCCCTATTCCTTTTTTTTACCCTCTGTCTAAATTTCACCCTACTTATATATCTAATTTCCAATCCCCTGCTCTAAATCCATATACACCTCTCTCTTATCTTTCTTCACTATCCAAATTTTTTTTCCCCTCTGTCGTTTTGTTATTGTTTTCTTGACTGTTGAGTACATTGGATTTTTTTATGCTTGTTTGTGAGATTGTTTTGCTTTTGCTTTTTATTTTTCTGTTTGTTTATTTTCCTCTGGTTACTTTTGTGCTTCTGTTTTCTCTCACCTCGCTTGATATTAGTGGTTGTTTGTAGTTTGCATTCATCTCCAGGGATCGGTTGCTGGAATTTGTTGGGATTAGTGGCAGTTCTATTAGTGTTTTCTCCCCATATGAATAGTCTCTTCCCCTCTTCTATTTTATTCGCTCTCTTTTCTCTCTTCTCCCTTTTCCCAATCTCATTTTTGCACTCCTTTTTTTCTTGTTTTCTTTTCTCTTTTTCTCGTCTTTCTTCTTTATCCCCTAATTCTCTTTGCTCAGGCAGTCACCTTTACTGGGGGTTATTAATATCATGAATACATTTGAATCCAGGGCTTTGTATGTTGTGCCTTGATGTGTTGTATTTTGTGCCTTTAAATCAACGCAGCAAAGAGAGAACCAAAGAACTGGAGAAGAGAGATCATGGTGAAACAAAGAACCAGCTCTCATATGAAAGAAAAACAGGCATCACCAGAAAAGGAAGTAAACAAAATGGAGGCAATGGAGGCAAGCAACCTGTCAGAAAAAGAATTCAGAGAAATGGCCATAAGGTGGATGAAAAGAATGGAAGACCAATTCAACAATATGTGTAGGAACCAAGAGGAAATGAAGAAGAACCAAGAAGAAATGAAAAATGACATCACTGCTATAAAGAACTCAATAGAAAGCATTAATAGTAGACTAGAAGAAGCAGAGGACCACATCAGTGAGCTAGAAGACAAGGAAGGAAAAAGTACCCAAGCAGAGCAGCTTCTAGGGAAAAAAAATTAAAAAGCAGGAGGATAGCCTAAGAGAACTCGGAGACAACACGAAATGAAACAACATCCAAATAATAGGGGTGCCAGAGGGAGAGGAAACTGAGCAAGGAATAGAAAACCTGTTTGAAAAAATAATGACAGAAAACTTCCCTGATATAGGGAAGAAAAAGCTCACACAAATCCAAGAAGCTCACAGAGTCCCAAACAAAATGTACCCCAAAAGACTGACGCCAAGGCATATTA